AGCTCCTGTCCACGGTCTGCCTCGTTCTCGAGCTCGCGCGGTCGGACAAATCTGCGCTCAAAGCAGACCAAGCGCTGGATGCACCAGGAAGGCGTCGGGCACCAGGCCTACATCGACTGGTGTGGATGTGAACTCGAGGAAGAGGTTTTCGCCGCCAGGGTTAGGTCGGGCATGTTCCCTTGGGCGCAAAATTGAAAATTGCCCAACGATGCACAAAAAACATATTCAAACAAAAAAACAAAGCATCGTCCCCATATTACTCCCAGCCATCCTGTGGTGTTGGGTCCTCGTTTTGAAGAGACGGTCCCCGCGTTCCTCTTCTCCTCTCCTCCTCCTCCCCTCCCTCCTCCTTCCATGCGTTTCACCCACCCAACACAACGTTTCTTGGCCCCACAGGGAGCTCCACGGAAGGTCCAACTGGCACCGCCTGCATGCGTCCGCCACCACCCAGCAGAGCCCTTGCTCTCTGCGTTTCACCCACCCAGTACAGCGTTTCGTGGCCACATAAGGGGCTCCACCGAAGGTCCCAGTGGCACCGCCCGCATGCGTCCGCCACCACCCAGCACAGCACTTCTTGATCCCTGCGTTCCACCCACCCAGTACAACGTTTCATGGCCCCATAGGGGGGCTCCACCGAAGGTCCCAGTGGCACCGCCCGCATGCGTCCGCCACCACCCAGCACAGCCCTTGCACCCTGCGTTTCACCCACCCAGCACAACGTTTCATGGCCCCATGAGGGGGTTCCACCGAAAGTCCCAGTGGCACCGCCCGCATGCGTCAGCCACCACCCAGCACAGCCCTTCCTCCCTGCGTTTCACCCACCCAGTACAGCGCTTCGTGGCCCCACAGGGAGCTCCACGGAAGGTCCCAGTGGCACCGCCCGCATGCGTCCGCCACCACCCAACACGGCCCTTGCTCCCTGCGTTTCACCCACCCAATACAATGTTTCGTGGCCCCATAGGGAACGCCACCGAAGAAGATATTCACAATTGCGGTACTCACATCTGCATATGGTTGGGTCTTTCGCTGGGCTGATTTTTTACTACTTTCGAATGTTCCTCCTGTAGAGGAGCACGCCCGACTCAACGCCAGGGTGAGATCCTAGCGAGGGCCGTGCAGGAATCGATCGACCGCGCGCTCCGGCAGAGTGTGAGGACACCAGAAAGGTACCGATACCGCTACTCTTAGGTCGGGCATGTCCCCCTACAGGCGTATTTGATGGAAACAAATGTTTCTTTTATATATATACACCAAAAAATAGAAGAAACGTCGTCCCCAGACTAGTCTTCGATTATTTTCTGTAGAGGGACACGCCCGACTGAACGCTACTCCCTGGGCCTCTCACAGGGTGCGTTCTGACCAGGAGCTCGAGGCGAACCTAGCGGTGATGAGGGCCTCCAAAGGGGCCGAGAAAAATGGGAGAACGGGGCGAAGGGCAGAGGCATGCCATGCCACTGCCAAGGAGGAAGAGGTACCCCTGCCGTGGGTACCTCTTCCTCCTCGGAGAACGGCGTCAACCGTGGGACGCCAGCAGCGGCGCTGGCATACCGCCGACGGGCCTCACCGCCGTGCAGGCGCCACCTCGGGGAGGCGCACTTCGACAACAGCTTCGACCTGGAGGACGAGGAGGAGAAGACGCTCAAGACTGCGGCCGGTGAGCCGTGGGGCAATCGCGGAGCGCAGCAAGTGGCATCAGAACTACGCAGGGAATACCAGATCAAGGAGCCCAAGAAGACGAAAGAGAAGATCGCCGAGCTGTATCGCTTCTACGATGACTTAGCCTGAGCAGTGGCTGAGCACCTCTTGGACAGTGAGCCGACACTGTGCAGGTATGTGGAAGAGAGAGTGTTGCAGGCTGTGCCAACGATATGGGTGCCATACCTGTTCGTGCTGACTGTGGGTTTTGTGATTGGATATTGCTCGTGCACAGCCGCGGGATGTGTATCGCCGATGTCCGAATTCGTTTCCCCCCTGTTCCACGAATATCGGGTGACGAACGGGCAGGCAGCACCGATGCTTCTCCGCACCGTTTCCCAGAAGTTGGCCAGCAGTCTCGTGGACACCAGCCGCGCCTCAAGACACGCCGAGAGAGCGACCTCTCTGGGGGCCAACAACGTGGCGGGCGCTTGACCACTGGGGCCCCCTGCTTCCTCGTGACGGGCGCTCCCCCCCCCCCTCCCCTCCCGCTCCCGCTCGCCTCTCCTGCTGGTGCTCGCGCGTGCATGTCGTCGCCCCTGCTTGAAGGGGAACTGGGGCACACAAATAAAGATACACAAAGAACCAGACTCCCTATATATTTTCCCATGTTTTCTGGGTTTTTGTCTTCCCCCCCACTCCCCATCTTTTCCCATCTTTTCTGGGGAATCGACGACTAATTGTGTCTGTGTGTGTTTCTCCCCTCCTGACTGCTCCCGTCCCAGGAGAGACCGTCGGGCCCGCTTCCCGTTCCTTCTCCACGGCACGTTCGACCTCCCGTGCGGGCGCGGAGAGATCGGAGAGGGGCAGAAACTCGCCTCCGAGCTCTTGGGGCCCAGTGTGTGCGTGCACTGGACACGTCGCCGGATCCTCCTCCCCAGATCTGTGGGCAGCGCGCGCGCACGGTGTCCCCTCCCCTCCTCCTCCTCCTGTCCAGGAGCCTCCGGGGACCTCCAGGGAACCTCCCGAACCTCTTGGTCCTCGAACCCGTGCGATCTCAGCAACTGTGCTGCGCTCACTCGTGAATGACGCCGAAGTGCGGATGATTTTGGTCGCCGGTCCTTGGCTGACCCTGCTGCGCAATCTGCTGCCAGCGCTGGTGGGACGCACCTTGCTCTCCCGTGGCCGTGCGTGGGGCTCGAAGCCAGCCCCAGGGAAGCCGGCTCTGCCGCATGGACGGCCAAGGCAGAGCGGGCTGCCCGATGCACAAGCACGTCTCTCAATGTGGGCTTCGCTGTGGAGGGGACATGCTGCAGTGCTGCCGTGAGGAGAGGTGCAGGCTGCAGCCAGACAGACACCGTCGGCCCGAAGCAGATAGCTCCCAGGCATCGCCGTGGAGGACACACACACACACACGCACACACACACACACTTGTGGAGTCGCGGCCGCGCGCGCAGCAGCGCGGCGCAGAGCAGGTCGAGCGGGAGGCGCCCCCGCACACTCTCACACACACACACGCATATCTGCCTACCTACCGACCGACCTGCCTGCCTGCCTGCCTGCCTGCATGCCTGCCTACCTGCCTGCCTGCCTGCCTGCCTGCCTGCCTGCATGCATGCACAAACCTACACCTATACACATGCACATATACGTATATATACATACGTAGATACATGCATACATACATACATACATACATACATAAATCCATCAATCCATCCATCCATCCATCCATCCATCCATCCATCCATACATATATACATACATACATACATACATACATACATACATACATACATACATACATACATACATACATACATACATACAAACATACATACATACATACATACATATATGCATACACACATATACTCATACATACATATATACATGCACACATACATACATACATACATAAATGCATGCATGCATGCATACATGCATGCATGCATGCATGCATGCATATATATACATACATACATGTATACATTTATACCTACATACCTATCTACTTCAATATATACATGCATGCATGAATACGTACATACATACATGTATACATACACACACACCTGCATACATACATGCAAGCATGCATACATACACACATATATACATACATTCATGCATCCATGCATACATACATACATACAAACAAACATACATGCATGCATGCATGCACGCACACATACATGCATACATCGATACATACATAGCTATATACATACATACATACATACATACATACATACATACATACATACATACATACATACATACATGCATGCATGCATGCATACATACATACATACATACACACATACACATACATACATGCATACCTACATACATACATACACGCATGCATGCATGCGTGCATGCATGTATGCATACATACACATACATGTATGCATGTATGAATGCATGCATGCATACATGCAGGCATACATACATACATGCATACATGCATGCATGAATGTATGAATGCAGAAACATGCATGCATGCATGCATGCATGCATGCATGCATATACACAGAGATACGTAAATACAGACAGGCATCTATACACACATACATTCATGCATACAACCATGCATGCATGTATACATACATACATGCATGCATACATACATCCATACATATATACATACATACACACATGCACACGAATTTGTTTGTTGTTTGTCAGCGGCATGTTGCGGCGGTTTCCGCGCAATACAATCGGCTGGCGCCAAAAGGTTGATCAAGTGCGCGCTGTGATCATCCGGTGGGGTGGAGGTCTTAGCGGCGGCTTTTAGCTGGCATCAGCGCTGGGGATGGTACCGAACTTCGGAAGTGCTTTGCCACCTGGCGCAAGAGTTGGAAATTCCTGTGTTTGGAGAAGGCTTCGAATGCAACCGGTACAGAACCAGCATATCGAGATGATCAGGGGAAAACGAGCGGTGAGAAGCGGAAACACGGATTCACATGCACTCATAATACATGATCCTCGAACAACTTTCTCATGAGTTAGGAGGAGGAGGGGGAGAAGTGGAAAAATAACAACACGCGTGGAAGAGCGGAGGAGGGAGGAGGAACAGTGCTGAATGGATAAGGCAGAGGGAACAACGTAGAGACAAGGGAGGCGAGAGAGGAGGGAGGAGGCAGGGAGGAGGCAAAAACTCGAAAAACAAAACGTGGAAACTGCAGAATGGTGACACATCTTCGAACCATAAGAGGGGAATCCAATCATCCAGGTGCTCATGGGTCTGAGAATTGCTGTGTTCTACCGTTTTTGCAACTCGCAGGGAGAGCAGCCTCCTGAATGTGGTACCCGCTGCATGCATCATGTGGCCATATCTGGTACCCAAGGCCTCAATCAGACTTGGCATACTACTTTGTAGCTGGTAGACCTGGCTGGCAATTCCATGCAAGGGCGGCGCATCCAGCGCACGAGGGTGAGGCCAGCAGGTCGCTACGTTGACGCTACAAAGAAGAAAACTGAACGCATGAGACACGCGAGAGGTTAGGATACAACTCCTCGGAGGCCTTCGTAAGAACGATTGGAGGAATAGGCCCGATCAAGGGGCCAGTAAGCCGGATCAGGTCAGATTCAACCTGGGCGAAGCTAGATGAAGCGGGACTAAGCCAGATTCAACGGGATTCTGGCTTAGGCAGGTCCGTGACGGTGAACACACCAGCTCCCATGCTGAATGTGTACTCCAGGTTTCTTAAGAAAGCGTCGGGGGGGGCGTCACCCCCGCTGACAGCCCCACATCGACCCCCGTCGCGGGCAGCCACCGCGAGCCGAATGCGCTTCGACCCCCCGTCGCGGCGCGACGCCGAGGCGAGGTTGACCCCCGTCGGGGTACGCCCCCCACGCCTACTAAGAAACCCGAAAAACCCGAATAACCTTCCAGGAGCTGCACCCGAAGAGAGGGGGGAGGGTCTTCCTGCACTGCCCTGTATTTCGCGAGGCACTCTTCCGAGCTAGCCCTCCGCGCGAGCGGCAGACGGGTATGCAAAAGGACGTGGGTGCCCGCGCTGCACAGGCGCCCTGCCCATGGCCCTGACTGGTGGAGGAGGATGGATCAGGGATGAATACGGCCGGACCTGGGACAGAAGAACATCTTTCAAGTCAATCTTAAGGGATCTTCTGACCCGGTCAATCCAGAGCCGGGTCAACCAGGCCCTGCAAAACCCTGCACGATCCTGAACCCAAACCCGGGTCAATGCGAAGGACCCGGCGAAATCCTGCAGGACCCTGCACCCAAACCCGGGTCAGTGAGACCCGGGCCCTGCAGGATCCTGCAAGATCTGGCGCCCTGGCTGACCCCCGGTTTGCACTGGCCCCCACCTCTTGAGCCCCGAATGGACCAGGGATGCGCACGGCCGCACCTGGGACAGAATCCCCTCTCTCAGAAGCACGAGCCGCTCCGCCGGCCAGACTGCAAAACGTTCGAGGGTCCCCTCCTCCAGGATGCACGGGACGTCCAGCAAGCACGAGGAGCGTCAGGGTACCCTCCCCAGACTGACCTCGATCTTATACTTCGGTCCAGCCGACAGAAGAGAGGACGGGGAGGAGTGAGGCCCAATAACACAGCGGGGATCGGCTCAGGAAGCGAAGCATCGGGAAAAACATCGCCGATAGATCGGCGATAGGCCCCCCATAGCGAATCCGCACGGTCCTGTTGGACGGGGTGGGCTATCAGGCCCTTGTCGGCGATCAGTGGGCGATTGGGGGTCGATGCATCCCCCCCGAACCTATCCCCCCCGAATGTTGCCCTTCAAGGACAGGGGAGGGAGAAGGACGGAGCGGGTGAGAGGAGTGGACGGGAGAAGGGGGAGGTCACGCTCTCTGAGGCGGGTTTGCTGTCGCCACAGTGTGAAACTCTGACCGTGGCGAAGAGGAGAAACAAGAGAAGTTGATTGAGATGGAGAAGGGGACTGAGGCAGAGTCAGAGGAGGAGTAAGAGGAGCAGGAGGCGGAGGAGGACGAGGAGGCGGAGGAGGAACAGGAGAGTCGGAGGAAGAGAAAGAGGAGGAGGAGGAGGAGGAGGAGGAGGAGGAGGAGGAGGAGGGGGAGGAGGGAGGAGGAGGAGGAGGAGGGAGGAGGAGGAGGAGGAGGAGAAAAAGAAGGAGGAGGGAAGAAGGGAGGAGAAGGAACGAGGGACGAGGGAGGAGGAGGCAGGATGCAGCAGGAGGAGGACAAGGATGGGTGACCCACATCTCCGACGCCCTGATTTGTTTTACAACATGGACCCCTGGAAGCCTGGCCCCCTTGCCGCGGGACCGCTCTTCATCCCGAATGTTTCTGTTGATGGCCCCACGGCCTTATGAAAACGTTCGCCGTCTGGTTTCTCGCAAAGAGGCGGAGCCTGAAGAGAAGAAAGGGAAGGATAAGGAGGACGACTCGGACAGGAAAAAGGAAACATAACAACGCAAGTAGAACGGGAGGGGGAAGGAGAGAGAGAAACAGCAGAAGGAGAACCAGAGGGAGAAGAGCAGGGCAAGAGCATGATGATAAGCAGAAGGAGAACGAGAACGAGAAGGCGAAAGAGAAGGAAACGCGAGAGGAGAGGGCGAAGGAAAACGAGGAGGATGGGGGGGAAAGGAGAAGGAAAAGGAGGAGAAGGAAAATGAGAAGGGCGAGGAAGAAGAGGAGGGTAAGGCGACGGAGAAGGAAAATTATAAAGGAGGAGGAGGAGGAGAAGGAAGATGGGGATGAGAATAAGGACAAAGAGAAAGAAATTGATGAGGAGAAACGGAAGGAGAGGAGGTGAAGGGGGAGGAGAATAAATAATCTGAAAGGAGAAAAAGAAGGAAATGAAGGAGAAGAAGTAGAAGAAGGATAACGAGAATGAGAAGGAAAAGGACAAAACAAACATATGAGGAAAAGGAGGACGTGAACGAGTAGGACATGAAGAGGAGGAAAACAAGGCGAAGGAGAAAGGAAATGAGAAGGAGAAGGGAAAAAAAGGGGAGGAGGAGGAGGAGGGAAAGGATAAGGAGATGGAAACGAGCAGCAGGGGAAGGATAATATGAGAGCATGAGGAGAACGAGAACGAGAAGGCGAAGGAGAAGGACAATAAGGAGGAGAAGAAAGATAATGTTAAGAAGGAGAAGGGAAAACAGGATAAAGAAAAGAACAATGGTGAGGAGAACAAGGGGGGAAGGCGACGAAAAAGGCGAAGGAGGAGAGGAAGGAGAAATCGGATGAGAAGAAGGACAAGGCGAAGAAGGAAAAGACGGAGGAGGAGAAAGAAAAGGAGAAGGATGAAGAGGAGGAGAAAGATGAGCCGGCGACTGAAACAGGACTCGAGAGACCGAAAACGACGGACCAGCTGCGTTCGCGAGCTGTCAGACGTCGCCTGAATCGGACGTCAGCAAAGGGAAGAGGAGGAGGAGGAGGAAGTAAAATTGCGGACGGCCGTGGTCAAAGAAACAAGACATGGCAGCAGTAGCATGAATAGAGCAACGGTTCTTTTCGTTCACCAACGTACAACCGCACGCGCTCTGCATGGCGGGTGCGCGCCCGCACTCCTATTCGAGTCGGGGACACCGGGCAATGGAAGGTGCCCCTCCTGCTTTGGCGTCGGAAGAACACACGAAGGGATGCGGGGAAGCGGCCACTGCGCCACGTTGATCAGACGCGTCCACCAGCAAGCTGTCTCGTGCACCCTACCCACGACTCAGCAGCCACAGCCCAATTCACGCTGTGGTGAACCCTGGAGAGCAAGGCGTGCTCGCCCGTGGACAACGCATACGCGCGCCGCGCTGCCCGCGGCCAGGGCTGCTCGATCGCGATGGCAGCCAGCAGAAGGCAGAGTCTGAAGACCGGCCCCTGACCCGATGCTGCGTCGACCGGCTGATGTTGTTTTGCACCCCGGAGCAGGGCGCTGCTCGCGGGGGCCCGGCGCAAATCTCGCGCCCGGCGCGCGCTCACGCCGCGGCCCCGGTCGCGCCTGCCAGGCGCGCCCCCTGGCTCCGCATCTCGCACACCGCCGGCATAGCCACTAGCTTTCGTTGCGGCGCATGCGCGGCAGCGTGGCTGGAGAGCACCAGCGCGCCTTATCCCGCGGGCGCGCAGACGCAGCTCGCGCAGCTGTTTGCGGCAGTCCGTCTCTCGTCGCCGGCGCTTGCCAGTAACAAGCGTTGTCTGATCCGCGCGCTGTTCGGCATCTGCCGGGACTTCCGGCAGATGCCGAGCGGCGCCAGCGCGGCGCTTGCTGCCTAGGGGGCAACAGCAGCGCAGCGTTAGGCCGTTCGCAGCTGTCCCAGAGTTGACAGAACAGCGCGGTCCACGCGCCAGGCTGCCGCGACGCACGCAAGCTCGTCTCTCAAGAGGCGGCGCCGCGGCACTGACCTCTGCGGCGGCGCGCCGCCCCGTCGGCCCATCGCAGCGCAGGCGGAGACCAACTGCTACAGACGGGCACATGCACGCGGCGCTTGCCGGGCGCCTGGCGCGCCGTGCCCAGCAGATCTTCACGGGGACGTTCACGTCGTCGTCGCCCACGCGGCGCTGATCTGCTGCGAGACAAGGAGGGCTCTTGCAGTCGAGGGGGGGGCCGGCCAGCCACCGATGGCAGGACACAACTTCTCAATGGCAGTGGCTCCCCTGAGGGTCGGGGGAGCTTAGACCTAAGCTCCCAGTGTTTCAATCATAAACAAACTCTCATGTGATGCTTGGGGGCTTGTTTGAAACTTTGATAACACATGTAACTTCTACTTCAGAAACAAGCTCCCTCGTGATTTTTGGGAGCTTCTTTTAATCTCTCTGTCTCTCTTTCTCCCTGTCCTCTGGGCCCTCCTCGGCTGTTGACGGCCACCTGGCGCAGCGCACTCTCTCTCTCTCTCTTGAGTCGGCGCGCCGACTCGTCGTCCTCCTCCTTCAAAACCATTTGAAAAAGCCAGCGGCCTTGCTCACATTTAGTTTGGCCAGGTGCTCCAGTCTTGAGCTAGCTCCGAATCAAGCGCAAATAAACAAAACAACGCCCTCCTCCTCCTCCTCCTCCGTGTCCTGCCAGTTTTGGCTCGAAGCACTTTGGCGCTCGACAGCGTCGTTGAGGCGACGCTTCCTCTCGATCTACCGATATACCACTTAAAAAGCGCGCTTATTTCGATGGGTCGAAGGAGGACATCGCAGGTGTCTTGAAGAAACATGCCACGAAGGCGGACTCTTTCGAATACGCAGAGCAGCCAGCAGGGAGCCACACGAAGAGCAAACTGAACGTCGCGAAGATCCTAGCAGTCAAGGAGATGCTTCAAGATTTGGTTGCTCTTTAGCACAACGTAGCTTTTCAAGCAACGAAGATCGATGGTGCTGTCGAGATTGTTTGGACTGCGTGCAAGGAGAGTTGGCCCCGCAAACCCAAGCCAGAGTTCCAAGAAGAGTGGTGCAAAAGCATCAGCAGCAGGCTGCGCGTGGCCTGCAGGCATATCAGCAGCGCGATGGCTCGGAGCGCCAATGGCAAACCGCCGAGGTGGTTGAAGGAGCTCCAGCACAAGGGTGCCGAGGATGGCGAGGAGGGCGACGGCGAACGCGAAGAGCAGGAGGAGGAAGAGGAGGCGGAGGAGGAAGAGCAGCAGGACAACCACGAGGACAAGCACCAGGAGGACGACCCCGACGAGGATGCCCACGTGGACGGCGATACGCAGCCGCCACCAGAGGCGAAGCCCGAGGAGAAGCCGCCTTCGGGAAGCTCGGCGCCAGCTGGCGCAGAGGAGTGGGCATATGGCTACTCGCAAGAGCTGCACAAGGCCTACCGCACCAAGCCGACGGCCAAGAAGCAGAAGAAGGAGTACGCCGACGTCTACATCGCAGAGGGCCACGACAAGGACACAGATTTCGTCAGGGCCAAATGGGGCGATGACGCCGAGGCGATCCCCATCACGGATATCATGGTTGCGGAGTTCAAGCAGCGCCACGACGTCCAGTGGGATACGAAGCAAGGGGCTCTCCGCAAGATGGAGATCGGAGGCGTGTGTTTCAAGCTTCTGGGGCAGGGGAGGAACGATAACGACGCGGTGAGCCTCTTCATGGATTTGGCCGAGGGGAAAAAGGCGCAAGTGTGCCAGATTTTGGCGAAGTGGTTCCCGGGGGATCGTTTCGAGAAGCGCTCGGTCATGATGCGCATCGGCCTGAGCTTGTGTGACAAGATTGAGAGCAAGACCATTGCGATCGAAATTGACGACGCCAAGAAGGTTAGGGAGGTCCTGAAAGTGGAGCGAGACAACCTCATCACCGCTGCGCTGGGGGAGGGCGCAAACTTGCCATTCCTCGGAAAGAGAACAGATCCCAAGAGGGCCGCCAGCGACGCAGGGGCGTCGGGGGGCGCTCCGCCACCCATGAAGGCAGCAAAGAAGGCGAAGATATCGAAAGCAGCTTCGAGCGTTGCGGAGGGCGGATCACCGAGCATGGGCGCAGGGGCACCCGAGCCCAACGCCGACACCACCGAGAAGGAGAAGGAGGGCGCGCAGAGCGTGAGCAGCGACGATGATGCCCCCCCCGGAATACCCTATTTTTTGAGCGCGCCTTTTTGGCACAGGAGTCGGCGCGCCGACTCCCAGGACGCCGACTCGAGCGTGATCGTTCTTGATATATCCTGTCGGCGCGCCGACAGCAGCGTGCCTGGTTGGACCAGCGACCATAGCGAAGAAAACAGCACCCCGAAAAACTGATGTCCGTCCTCCCCTACCTTTGTACTCGTATTCGTCACCATTCCCCTCATCCGTCACTTATTCAGCTTGGCTGCTTTGCCTCTTGATGCTCGAGTCGGCACGCCGACTCGAGTACACATTCTTCAGTCAGCGACCTTCGCGAAACAATGCGAAACTCATGCCAATGCTCCTGAGGCCGTTCCTGGTCCTCCTCCTCCTCCTCACCTCCGTCTCCTCCAACTCCTCCTCCTCCTCCTCCTCCTATCCATACTGGCTGTTTCGACCGGGGTTGATTGGGCCTCCCGAAGGCTTTCGCGACACAAATCAAAACCATCAAAAACGCACGCCCGTCTCCCCATGGCTCTTGTGCCACATCCTGGCTGGTTTGCTTAAGATTGATTGTGCACCCCCAAGGCCCAAGAGTAAGTTGAACATGTGCAAGCATGTGCGTAAAAGGTTTGGTTTGAAGGTTTTGTTGAGCTATTAACACATGTTTCCGTTCTTGCCGATAGGGGGCCGAAGCCAGACGAGTTAATCAAACGTAGCTCTCAGGCTCAATCGCAAGCAGTGCTAGCACAATCCTTGAACTCAAACGATGGCGGGGCCAGTGGCTGCGTTCGAAGAGCTCGCAACTAAGGTCGGCAAGCCAGCGACGTGGGCAGTGGGCGACGCATCCAAGGCAGTCAGCGATGGCTTGAAAGGTATTTTCTATGCGTTCCAGGCAACTGCTTCAGAGAACAGCGCCGCCAGCGAGGATCTCACGCCCGAGATGACGATGATGAAGACCGTTTTGAACTCAGCAGGCAAGGTTAGTGTTCGCACGGGCGCGGGGAGGAAGCTCATGGCCGAGATCAACAAGGACGCCAAGGAGTAAGATGAGTACAGCAAGTGCCAAGGTCATGAAGCGATGAGGAAATTCAGGGAGAGGTACGCCAAGAGAAGGTTCGCAGAGCTCACCGAGAAGAAGTATCAGGAGGAGTCCACCTTTGACCTGCAGTCGGTCGAAGCCGAGTACTGCGCTTTCCCGCGCCTCGTCTCGCGCGAAGGTGGAGGGACCAACGACCCAATCGCTCGCGACAACGGCTTGACGTTCTCGAAGAATGCAATCGCGAAGTGGCAGAAAGGAGAGACGTTCCACGGGCACCCGTGGGTAGTAAAGCATTGCAACATGCGCAACACGGCGGTCATCCTGCACTACAGGGAGAAGGTGTCCCTCGGCATCAACAAGGCGCACGGGCTGCGCAAGGAGTGGTCAGAGGGTGCTTCAGGGTCCACTGAAGGGGGCCGCCCTGCCGACCCGCCCGCAAAACGGCCGAAGAACTCAGAGGACGGCGCCGAGCCCAAGGTTGTCGAGCCTGCGCCGAAGCCCTCAGATGACAAGGAGAAGAAAGGCAAAAAAAACAAGACGGAGGAGTCGGAGAAGAAGCGCCTCTCCAGCGCGACCTCGAAGCTCAAGGTGCTCAAGTCCAGATACGCTGACGCGAACGCCGCTGCGGCCGACCTCTTCGACCTGGTCTCCAAGGACCCAGTTTGGGCTTGGGCGAACAACGAGATCCTCCTGCAGGGCCTGCGCAAGGCGCGCAAGGATCTGGACGAAAGGGAGAACACCAGCGACTTCTGGAAGATGTGGGTCGCAGACGCTGGGTTCACCAAGAACGCGTCGAAGAGGTTCGAGGCAGCGAACATCATCGTGGAGAGCAACGCCGCCGCCGACTCGACGAAGACCCTCATCGATGATCTCCTCGAGCAGGCGAACCAGCTCAAGCGCATGCACAAAGCTCGCAATGAGAAGTAGCTTGGTTCGGGATCGGCGCGCCGACCCCTCCGTTTTGCACGCAGCAGCACGATTTCGCGCGCACTGCGAGCAATGTGTGTTTGTGCAAAGCGAGTCGGCGCGCCGACTCGACCTGCGTTCTGGGACCAGCAATCCACAGGCGTCCTTCTCATCATCCTCCCCCCTCCTCCTGCTTTGCTTTTCAGTCTGATCTTCAATCGTTTGATGTCTGCGGCCGAACTTCAATCGTTTGCTTCAATGTTTGATGCGCAGTCTTCTCGGTGCTTCGAGAACCCCCCCCCCCCCCCCCCCCCCCCCCCCCAAGGATCCTCATGACGGCTTCAGTCATGGACTTGTGCCCCGCACGAACGAACAAATCATTGATCGCACCCCATCCGAGGAAAAGGCTGCCACCAGAGCTTGCAGAAAGAGAAAATCAGCCCCCAGACGAAATCACAGAAGCCCGCCGAAAGTTCACAAAAGTTCACAGAAAGCTCACGTGTGAACTTTGGCTGTGATGTTTGACTTTTGTTGTGTGTTTATATGTTGAACCAAAGTTCACAGAAACTCACCGACCAAAAAATCACCAAAGTTCACCAGGTGATCCGTTGCTGATTTTCCACTATAATTTTGATGTTCATTGATTTGTTTTGGAGCCGCGCCGATCGGCCACTAGAAAACGGCCGAAGAGGCTGCCGTTGAGCCCACCCCTCGGCTCCAGCCCCTCCCTTGCGCGCGCGCAGCCTCCCAGGCTCAAGTTTTGGAAAGGGTCGGCGCGCCGACCTCAGCGCTGCCCCTCATGTTTGCGCGCAACCGAGCAGTGACAGACGCGAAATGCGCTGCGCGGCATGCGGAGTGGAACGACCTCCTTGCGAAGAACCCAGGGGCAAACTGGAGGGATCTGCCAGCCCCCCCAAGAGCAGCGAGGAAGTCCGGGAAGCGGAAGAGACAGCGCGAGAAGCAAGCACTGACGCATCAGGCGCAGAGGGCAGGCGCTTCGAGCAATGGCGCTGCGAGCTCTTGTGCGACAACGGCGCCGAAGGACCTCTCGAGAAGAGTCTTGTCATTCCTCGCTATGGTTCGAACCGCGCTGTATGAGCAGAGCAGACGGAACAAACTAATAACTGTAAACGTTGTTAGTATTACTGTTATTGTGTTGTGCCCTCCCAGGACCCCGTCGCCGCCTCGATGGCCGAGAAGAACATCTGCGAGGCTGTGGAGGCCGATTCCTCCTTCGAGCCTACAGGGGCACCAGTGGTGTCCTCACCCACCGAACCCCCCTCAGAGGAGTTTCTGTCGCCTGCCTCCTTGGAGGACGACTCGCCAATGGAGGTCGAGGTCCCCGAGTCGGAAACGCCCAAGGACACGCCCAAGGAGACGCCCATGGAGACGCCCGGGGAAGCCGAGGCAACCTTCCAGGACGACGAAGCGAAGCAGCATGTTGCGGATCAGACTACATCAATCTACATCATGTCGATGTGCAGTAAGTGCTGCTATGTGGAAGTGGGCACTGGCCGAAACGGCCAAGCAATCCCAACGCTGGTCCTGAACGCGAAGCAAGGGTTCTTCGACCCCCAGAGCCGAGATGAGAAGCACGATGGGAGGGCCTTTTCCATCCAGGAGACATTCGTCAAGAAGACTGACAAAGTCCGACGTCTTGTGCGGCAAGCGAAAGTCTTTGTGAATGAGCACCTTGGGAAGACCGACGACATCGCCGCGCATGCGTGGTGCAACGCAAGCAAACACAGGAGCGTTGCGTGCACGGAGCTCTTCTGCCAGCTGTTCAACTCCTTGGAGGTCTTCAAGGGCTGCGGGTACTACCACTCCAGCTTGCGCAACCATGGCCACGGTCACAAGTGGTGCCAGGAGTGCAACCGCGGCGCTACGCCAGACAGGATGGCTGTCAAATCTGCCCTCCTCGAGCATCTGCTCCCACTTTGGCGAGATTGTGAGGTGCGAGTTCGGATTGGGATCGGTGAGCCGACCCTTTGGCAGTGATCGGATCGGTGAGCCGATCCTTCAGCGGTGCGCAACACTTTGTAGCGGCGCGCAACAGCGAAGCTCTGGGCAAGGTATCGGCGAGCCGATCCTTTAGCGATGCGAAAAAAAGAACCTCACCCCTCCTCCTCCTCTTCCTCTCCATCCTCCTCCTCCTCCTCCTCCTCCTCCCTTTCCTGCCTCGTGGGGGGGCTCCTGGGGTGGGAATGTGGTGGTTTTCCTTATGACTTCGCCACGTTCTAGACCACCCCTGTGTTCCCAAACTGGGGGGGGTCTAACATTCGGGTCCAAGGCCGATTTTTTTGGCCCGACGCAGCCGTTTGATCGACCCGCCGAGCTCGAGCCGCAGCCCCCAAGCGTCGGCGAGCCGACGCCCCCGTGCAGTGTCGGCGAGCCGACGCCGCATGCAGCATGCCTGGGAACGCGATTTGGGGGCATGGGACAACATGATGCACGATCCTGGCTCCGATGATGGGACGGAGAGCGAAGGGGAGATTGACTACGACGACGTCTCATCTGAGTCAGCCGCAGCCGAGCTAGGTAATATGAAAATTGATTTGAAAATGCGGGGCCTTATCGCTGCGACTGACGCTTGCATGATCAGTTTCTGGGCTGCGAAAGCAGGGGCTGGCGGGGTCACCCAGCAACTCGCGAAAGCTCCTGGTGCTTCAAATGGGAATTACTCCAAACACTTCAACCGTGTAGTGGGGTCTGATTCAGTAGAAAGTGAAAACGTGTATTTCGTGGACGTGCCATTTTTCAAGCGTGGCGATGCCACTCGTTCGTCGCAGAGCACTGCGATGTACCTGCCGCACGACGCGGCGGACGATGAGATCATCAATTCGCCAGACATCGCAAATACATTGCTGAACTGTGTCGGTGATGGCGAGTTGCCACAGGCCTACTTCGATCACCCCATCACTCGTGCGACGCCCCCTGACACTGCAGTTTCCCGTTCGCATTATATGTTGACGGGGTGCAATTCCAAAGGACTGATAATGTTATAGGCTTATGGCTCGTGTCTTTGTGCACGCGATCTCGCCATCAAATCGCTGTGTTGCGCAAGTCAGAGCTCTGCCACTGTGGCTGCAGAGGTTATGAATCGTTGCACGTCATACATGCAGCTCTTTATTGGAGCTTCGCTGCAATGGCTAGAGGCACGCGGCCCCATGAGCGCCGCGACGGTTCAGCATGGCTCGAATCGGATCATGAGCGGCAAGCTCTCGCTGGGATGGCGCTCGGGTGGGTAGGCATTATTTTGTTCCTGAAGTGCGACATGGTGGAATTTGTTACTACATTCGGCTTCCCATCGTGGAAAACAGTTCACGCGCCTTGCCCTTTGTGTTATTGCACCCAATCAAATTGGGATCAAATATCAGGCATTTATTTAATGGGGTTGCCTTGGTGCTTAAAAACATGGGCCGATTACAAAAATGCCTGTGACAAGTGCGAAACCTGGGTACATGTGGATAGCGAAGATCTTTCTAGGACCATCAGGGCGTCTCTCGTCTATGATAAGAGAAGAGATGGGAGTCGGGGAGGTGTTTAGCAGTTGACTCGCCAATCGCGGGGCTGCTCAAAGGGGGCCGCTTGGAACCCCATGCGCAAATGTTGGGCACGAGCGAGTTCGATGCCAAAGAGCGCTGCCGCCCGTTCTTGCCATTATGGGCGCTCTCCTGGCGCAGATCTGCAGACGCGCTTGTGCGGAGAAGGAATCCTATCTTTTCAGATGTGACGTGGTTCGTGCCTTCAATGGTGATTCCCATGGACTGGCTGCATTTATGCAGCCTCGGTATTTTCAAGGTCTTCGTTTCTATCCTGTTGCATAAAATGTTTGAGTGCAATGCTCTGGACGTAGCCCCAGGGCCCCACGATGTATTCATCGCGAATTGCGTCGCCAAGCTTCGCGCGCTTCTGTTTGACTGGCACGACACAGAAAAGCAAGCAGGCCGCGATCACACCCGAGTACAGAACCTGACTGTCGAGATGGCGGAGCACTCCGGTGACCATGTGTTAGGCGCGTGGGGTTCGGAGACGAATGGGTTCGTTCTGTTTTCGCGCGACCTGCTGGATCGTTACCAACGTCGCGTCCATCCAGACGTACTCGTGCACCTCAAGCGGGGGGTCTCGGCGCCCGTCACCATCTACAACATGTTCAAATATTATGATACAGGGGCGCCAGGGCAAGTGGGGATAATATTATATTGCCGCGTTTCCTGGTCCACCTCCTCCCCCTCCTCCTCCTCCTCCTCCCTCTCTCCTCCCCTCCGTTCCAAAACCACCCAAACATGTTTTGTTTTATTTCCACGACGCCCTGGAAAAAAGATTCTGCACCTGTCGACGTGGCGCAGGGCTTCGCAGATGCTTGGAAACAACACCTACACGCAATGCGGGCGCTAAGTGTTGGGTTCAGGGCCAAGCACCATGGAATGGCTCATGTTGTCTCCAAGCTCGTTCAGTATGGATCGCGTCACGTTTGGGGAAATTGGACAGACGAGAAAGACAATCAACACTTGGCACGGTTAGCCCTTCGGGCTCATAGATTAGCGTGGGCGCAGCGGATACTGGTTGACCACAAGTATGGCTTCGGCACCAAGAAGGCAAAGAAGGTGTAAATGGGTCGGCGCGCCGACCCATAGTTTCGTGTCGGCTCGCCGACACATGTGGCCGATCAGGAAAAAGTGCCCTCCTCTCCTCCTTTTCTTCCTTGGCCTCCCCAAACCAAATTTCCTCTTACTCCTCCCCCTCTACCCTTTCAAATGTTAAAACAAGCTTCCTCGTGAAATTTGGGAGCTTGTTTCGGAAGTAGGAGTTACATGTGTTATCGAAGTTTCAAACAAGCCCCCAAACATCACATGAGAAGTTGTTTTATGATTGAAACACTGAGAGCTTAGATCTAAGCTCCCCCGAACCTCAGGGTCGTTGTAGCTCAGTCGCCATGCGTCTTCCGGCCAGCACATCGGGCCCAGACATTGACAAGCCCATCGGTCCGCGGCGGCGGCCGTCTAGACGCGCGCGCACTCACGCGACGCCGCGCGACCCAGAGGAAACGCCGCGCCTGGTCTGGGCGCGAGAACTCCCGAACGATCCGTTGCAGGCGCAGAAGGGCCCGCGCTGCCCACAGCCTCGCGGTGGACTCGGTTCGGCCAGCCGTTCTTGCTTCAGGCGGAGTCGCGCAAACGCGACGACCGTGTCGTCGTTGGGTTGGCAACGGTAAACCTGGTGGCCAACGCCACGCGCCGGGCGACTCCGAGCGCGCCCTTGGCGCCGATGCCACGGAACAAGCACTGGCGCGCGCGCCCCCGCGCGAGAGCGCCACCGCCCACGCGGGGGCGCCGCCGCGGAGTAGCACGCACAATGTGGTTGCGCGAGCAGGGCAACGCGCAGATGCGCCCCGTTCGCCGCCCCCGACCGGCGGCTACACTACAATGCTGACGTCGTCGAGCACGCGCCCACTCCATGGGCGGACACGAGAGCAACGACTGAAGAGCGAGTGCAAAACGACCTCCATGGTCCGGCACTGCCGCGCAATGGAGCAGCACTGGCGCGGCAGGCCAATCCTCAACGGACACGGGGTCTTCGAATCCGACCCCGCGTCGACATCCGCGAAGGGGCCCCCTCCGTCACGGGAGTTTCTCATCTGCGGCGGTGCCTGCGAGCATCGTCGCCTGCATGCGCGTCGCTGCCGCGGAGGCGGCGACCGCCCGGATCATCGCGTCGCCCGCGCTGCCCTTTAAACTCAGCGCTCCAGCATCTCGAACTCCTGCTTCGCGATCGCTTCGGCCTTGTCTGGGACTATCAAGTCCTCGCCAGCCTTCGTCGGCCACGATCTCGCCCGCGACCTCCTGTAGGCCAGCCGCTTGAGAGGTCGCCGCCGGCGTCGATCACGACGGGCTTCACGGGGTAGATCTTGCCCACCTTCGGCAGGATCAAGTGAGGGATCTGCCCGACGTCGTGCAAAGGAGGAATGCATAGTCAGCTTATTGCTATAGTCACTGACGTCCGCCATGAGACTGGGCCTCCAGGCACAGGCGTCGGCGACGGTCGCCTCCGCGAGAATGGCGGCGTGAATCTCTAGCGGGAACGCCCGGGCCTGCGCACCGTCGACGGCGGGCCGGAGGGCTGGCCTCAGCCCCCTGGGCATCGCGAAGCTGAGACCCCCGGAAGTCACACACACACACACACACACACCGACTGCATAGCCTCGGCGCGGAAGGAGGCCCCAGGTAGGTAACGCGCAAGGAAAAGAGAGAGCTCCGCGACGGGCGCACCCGAGTCCGCAAGTTCAATCTTCGAGACCTTGCGGCGCGCGATGTCGAGGAAGTCCTGGGCGGCATTCGCCGCGACTGCAGGGGCCAAGGGGCGCGCGGATAAATGCGCGCGAATCCTGGACCCCCCTTTCTTCCAAATGTTTGAAAGGTTCGCCCCCCCCCCCCCCCATTTCCCATATTTTCTATATTTTCTACGGGGGGCGCGTGCCCTCGGCGCCCGCGAGGGCGCGCGCCCCCCTGGCAATCGCCTCCTCGGCGATGCAAACGGCCTCTTTGACAAAGTAGCGAAGCACGATGCGGCGCGCCGTCCGCGGCCCCTGCCGCCCCGCCAAGTTCTTGGGACGCGCCCGGCAAGCCTGCCACACGCTAGTCTCGACGCGCACGAGGCGGACAGCCGCGGCGGCGCCGCCACCAAAGACACATCCTCGAGGACGCCAGAGGGGCTCGACTCGACATCCTTGGTGGACATGGCGCGGTCGGACTGCTCTGCGCCGCGGACAGCCGCGCCGCCTCGCACCCTGCCCGGCGCGGCGACGCACGGGACAGCGCGCCGGCCGCGCAAAGGCTGCGGAGAGGGCGGCGGCCACAGCGTCGACGCGTCGGCATCCACGGCGAAGCGACGCGGCAGGATGCGCGATTGTTCATGCAGGGAGCCTCGCGACTGGGGCGCAGGTCGCCATTCGGGGCGATTCCAGCGCCCCGGAACTTCCTCGGCGAGGTGACGGCGGA